GACAGAAATCTTCTGACATCTGTCAACATTTATTTACGGTTAAGTAAATAAGTCTGTAAAACGCCAGTGAATTTCTACCAGACTACATGGCACAACATCCCAGACGACAGTCGGCTTCAAAGACTCACCGTCGCCACGGGCATCGACAGAGGAGCGTCAATGTCCTCCATGTTATTTTCCTGCATCTCACTTTCCTAATTTTTTGGTTCTGATACAGCGAGACTATGGTACAGGAACTTTGACATCAAACTCTTCTGTTGCAGAGCACAACGGCTATTATTCTTGTGGAACAACCGCTTCTCCTGTTAACAGATACATTCGGCCTTGGATCTTCAACGTGTCCGTAATGATGGTGATTGCTTCAGGAACTCAGATACTCAAATTTCCTGCTATTTATGGGACCTGACAATTCATCACCATGTTCACAACAGTCTATAACTATATGATACATTTTAATATTATCCTCCCACATGCATGTGGCTGATATACAGTGGTTAAGAATGCGACTTGATGCTTTCTGAGCTGCATACATTGTACAGCGACAAATATGAGGATTACTTTGAAGGATAAGCTACAGACGTCAAAGGAAACAGTCACGCCTATTGTATGGGATTATCCCAACACTTACTGACAGGAATGGGGGTGTGAGGTGGGGATGGGGAACTAAAATCAACCTCCAAAGCCAAGATCCGAATTTCTGACTTACCACATTTACAGCAAAAATCCTGACCACTCATGCATGCAGTAGATAAGCCATAATATATGATAATAACCTTTAGAAAGATTTCAATTAATTTTTAAACATTAGGAGTTCGTCGACAGAGTAATATGAGTATGTATTCAAGTACCATTTTCATGCTACTTTAAATTGCGAGATTTTATTCTGGAGACTTTTGATGCATTACCTTGTCATTCAAGGATTTCAGAACGTGATCGAAAAAGAATTTCTTCAGCCACTCCCACTCTGTTTCTGCAGTCCGTAGCAGGTGTTTATGTATATCAAACTCATCAATAAGCAGAGTGTTCTCAATCCGATGTACCATCATGCTTACCTGCAAAAAGCACCAATAAAATTAAAAAATATATAATCTCAATCCCAGCACCTCTCACATATATCTTACTGAAACACCAAATGAGGCAATAATAAATTTATTGCAACATTCAGTTTCAAATAAGAAATGATTCTCAAAAACCAAATCCCACCCCAATTTAATACTACTAACAAATGTTGCAGTTTTAATGATCTGCAGGAGGCCGTGTTTGAATTTCAACCCAGAAACCAAATACCATGAGAATTTTCAAGGCACTGCTCAGTCTCTCCAAGCAAATGCTGTGACAATGCTTTAAAGTAGGCCATTATTACTTTATTCCACATCTTTTCCAATTCATCATTTTTAATCAATGCAGGTATTTGGAAAAGCATAATTAAATAAACCTAGACACTATTACAGGAAACTAACCGGCCCTTTACTGTACGGGATCTTCAACAGTTTCTTTATATTCTCTGCGTCTGAAACAAAATCCACTTCACCCACACAATCTGGAAACATGTGAGCCATCCGGAAACTGAAATGTTCACGTGACATAAGAAACACGTTTGTACATGGAAACCTGATTCAAAAGTTTTGGCACAACTAATGAAACACAGATTAAACTTTATCAATAAAAAATATAAATTGTTAGCCCCAGTTCATACGAACAACAACTATTTATGATCACCTTAATATTTATACAATCTAATGGTTTAATGTTATGCATAATTTCCACAAGTACAGAATCCTACCACATTACACTTGTCGGATAAAGCCATCAAGTTTGTAATTGTTAAATAACAAAAATGTTACACTGTAGGTACATTTATTGTCTATCTCCGCATAAAATGTTGTGTTCTTTGAACATGTGGTACATTCATTACCACCACAAAACAGATAATTGAACACTGAGTTTGATATCACGTTGTTTATGAACTACGCAAACATAACCTCAACAAAAGCTATATATGTTTTATAATATATTACCACACGAAATTTCAGAAACCTGCATTAAGTAGAAAAAATGTAATTTCCAACTCATAAGTCTCCATAGTCCTATGATGGTATAACTGACGGCAGAAAATTTAAAAATACAGAGGTGACACATCTGATTTATTAAAAATTGAAATATTTCAATCATAAAAATTTCATTATTCTACACTGAATAATGTTAACCTTTCATTCATCTCAAAAGTTTGCTTTGGTGACCATGTTAAAAATATAGTGTCAATTTTTCTTAAATGTCATGACCAAGTTTCATTAAAATCAGCCTCAATTAAAAAAATTAATTAGACAAACATGCATCTCAAAAGACATGGCTGACTTATTTCTTGGAACATAAACTTTGAATATCACTGTTGAATTTCATAACCTGTTGTTAAAAGAAGACTCCACTTAAACTTCTCAATTTTATTCTATGCACACAAAAATATAACTGATATGCTCTTCACTACGATACATACCTTGAAAACCCTGAAGAATGGGATGATACATATTGAAGGCCATATGATTCAGCAGAACTGCTTAGCCAATTGGAAGGTGGCAAATTCAAGTATGTATTACACTGTAGGAGGGCAAAGTTTGCGTAGGATTGTACGGATGAATATTTAACAACTGAAGTTGATTTAACATGCTTACGAGGGGAATCTGGAGATGGAGCCAGCCTCCAATTCTCTATTCCTCTCGCATCATCTTGTACGTCTGTCGAATACTAAACAGACACAATAAAAGATTCACAGAATGTATTGCTGATTAAATGTACAGCTGTAAATATATTTGTCAACATTAATAATGAACAATTCCTGCCATAACCTCCAAGTGTGTTGCAATTTTTATAATTTAAAATAATCTTTGCAAAGGAGTAAGGTTAGGTAAATATCTTGATGGTTAATTACACATCATGTCATAACGACATATGGCATAGTAGAATTACAAGTCCATGCATTCTTAATATCTGCATTAGATTGAGAATAAATGGTCAGCTGCTTTACCCTCACAGAAACAGCCCCCAGTACACATTACAGTGAAGCTGTTGGGTGGGCCTATAAATAAAAACGATAAATCTGTATCCCTCATACTGTAGTCCCCCAGCCCATAGACTAGGGGCTATACTGGGCACCTCACATCACAGTGTTACTGTGATATACCAGTTTTACCCTAATCTATCTCAAAATAAAAGTTTCATGTGACCAGTATCTGGTATTATACACTCTATAAAAACAACAAATTATACACAGGTTTCAGAATTTTTACTACATTTAATCAACTGGATAGAAGTCCAATCTTCTGCTCCACCAATCAGCACCTTATTATCCAACTCACCACCTATTGCTTGTCTGAAATAAGGCTTCCAAACACCAAGCATTTACCCTGAAGATCACAACTACAATGTTGGACAATTTTCAAAATTTGAGATGGTCCACCCTCAAGAGTCGAAGTTACAAATATTCAATCAGTTGAAAGTCTTCCACTACATGACACAAGTTGATTGTGATGAAAATTTTTCATTACTAAAACTATAAACCTTGCACCTAGTATTAAAAATTAATTTCCCCCTCCCCCAAACTTGCAACTTCCTAACATTGCACATGATGAACACCATTCACCAAAATTGGCAAGGAACACTTCAACAAAATTGTTTGCAAATGTGTATACAAAATGGAAATTTGTTTTAATGTTTTGAGGGGGGGGGGGGGGGGGGGGGGGCAATACTTTGCTGATTGGTGGGGGGGAGGTACTTAATTAATTGTATGCCGACAGCCACGGGTGCGGTGTGCGGGGATTGACTACATTTAGTAAAACTTTCACACCATACTCGTTCTTCTGTCCGCTTTAAAAAAATCCCCTGGCTGATACATTGAACAGGAATGAGCGTTCAAGTATAGGTCTCTCATCTCGAAGACTGTATATATCATATACGCACAAGTTACTTATGTCAGTACCAGACCATATACCTCTCTTTCACAGGGCTGTGTTTGATTACCTTCCATCGAGATTCCCCTTTATTACGCTTAATTCAAATTTTACAAAGATCAACAGCCTTCTCTGCAATAAATTACAGGTTAGGCTACAAACAAATTTCTTTGTATCAAGGTCAATTTTCACAGCATCGTGAAATTATGAAACTTGTTAGCACGCAGGTCCGTTCACATTTGATTTGTTTAGCTCTCGATTCTCCAAACATTGACTGTATAACAGTAAAAAAATCTAAAAAAACTTTTTATTCCATAACATCTACTACTTTTTTATGTTGTGACACATCAATAAATTTATGTCTACTATTTGACTCTCATATTGGACACCATGAAGCAACACAACTGCCGCCTTTCGGCGAATTACAAAGTCGAATTCATAATCCGGCTAGGACGGCTCGATTGAAATAGCAGTGTTCTCACATTCTACATCAAGGCCACAAATTTGAAAATTCACTGATTCCAAAATAAAAAAATTCCCAGCCGTTATAATACACGTTAGCAATAGCGGGTATGCTTTCTTGTGTAATTACTTTTGCGGTAATACTGTAGTTGACTAAGTTACTGTCATAACTATGTAATTTATATTTGTATCAGGAATAAGCATTGTATTTGTGCTACGATTTGTTTCGCATCCTGATATCCGGGGTTCCTGTACCAGTGAACATGTTGAATGGGTTGTGACATTGTGTAATTTTGTAAGTGATTACCAGTATTTTGGACAAATGTATCCTCTCCATTTCAGCACTGAAATGAAGACAGAAGCAACATTTTCCTCTGAAAAATTGGTAACCATTTATTAAACCACGTGATGTCTCCACACCAAATACAATGATCATATGCATACTTCACAATTTGATCATCACGGACATGTTTGTAAAAAAGAAAATAATATGTCATGTCTTTAACATTATTATTGTTATTTTTACTGAATTTTACACTACCATGGCGGAATATGAATAAGAACAAATTAATGTAGTTTCCTAATGGAGAGAACACCGTCTTGATAACTATCTGTCCTCAACCACAGGTTACTGTACTGTAAAGCAAAACCCTTCTTTCAAATCCCAAAGAGATATTCGATTACTGGGTCTTTGATTGGCCTTAAGATTCCAACTCTCCGATTACCCCTAAAGCATCCAGTGCTTCAGCCCTAAGTTCATCTCACCCGTCATTCATTCCAGATATACGAGCCCTTTTGGTTGTTCATCAACCATCTCCAGATCCATAAAATTTGCAATACACACAAATATTCAATTATTCATTGTTTGCCCTTTCAGGAAATAAATACCAGACAAATCAGGATTGAGTAGAAATTGTGCTTGTCATTCACTACTTATAAAAGCACATTTGAAAGATAAAGAAACCTCCCATATGAGAGGAGGCCAAGGCTCGACTTCGGGATGTCGCGCCATAGAGTCAATTAGCTGAACTGAAATAAAACAGTGGGAGAGTAAAGTAGCTGTGATGTGCGTCTGCAATCTACTTACAACACATTCCTTGAAGCATCCTCTTCACTTCTTCATGACCTGATTTATTCCAGAGTGGATAAATAAAATAAAACACAACTTTATTTCACATAATTGTTTATTTATCTACTGTACTCAGAAAATGGGGGAATATTATTTTCTTTATTTTACTGCTGTCACTTCCATATGCACTAGATGAAAGTGGTTGATACCCGATGTTGCATCTGAAGGAGTAATATCTGCCACACCAACTGTTTGGGAGAGGGGATGCTATTTTTACAGAGTACAATGTTTTGTGAAGACAGTTCATAACACACATTTGTGATTGCTGAAACAAAACCTCAATACAGAATTAATGGAATGGACACCATCATAAATGACTCCATAATTTCACAATAAAACTCTGTAAATTGAAAATTTCAAAATTTATTTCCAGTTTCCACCACCTTAGTTTGAACAAAATAATGAAATGTCTTCACAAAGAATTTATCTCTTTCTTTCAAGATATTTTTGTGTTAGCTGAATAGGGTAAAAGCCACCTTCAAAACGCAGTATTAGGCACACAGTTTCTGTGCGACTCATTTGGCCCAACGGAATGTCAGAGGCAAATCTCGTTTCCTTTTCTGAAATAGGAAATCGGAAGGTAGCGAACAGGAATTTGGTATAAAATGTTTGTCGCATGTGAAATATTTTCTTACTGGATTATTACTCAAAATAATCATTTTGAGCAATTCTCCACATCCGTTGCATTAGCAGCACAGTCCTTCACAACACAGGCAGGACTTGAATAACATGGGGGGGAGCCACCATTACGCACTTGACGAGATGGTGCTAGTGATGATGATGGTTCCTGCTTCTTTAATGCAGAAAATGTGGGAATTCATCTCATATTCATCCCATGTACAAAATATCTTGAAAGATTTACATCCTTCTACATAACCTCATTGAAAAATAAAGGCATTTTTGAGTTTGGTGTAACCAACATTTTATCCACTCATTGCAGATATTAACTTCCACAGAGAGCAGGTGTACTATGCGTCTTACACATATTCACACCTGGTTATTATACAAACTATTCAACAACAAGGAGAAAACCTAATGTTTGAAACAATTTTCTTATACGTACACACATTAATTTTTTACACCCACGGTTGATATTACTTAAACAGTTGATCAATTCAAAAATAAAAGTCTGATCCGCTGTGCAGTTTTCTCCTCATTCCTGAATAAGTTAATCTGAATTGTAAAGTCTAACAATAACATAACAAGGTATGAGTAATGGTTATAGTGAGGCTTAAATAACAATCATTACTAAAATATCACAAAATTATTGATAAATGAAAAAATACTGAGCCACTGTCATGTACTATGTGAGATCCACTTTTCTCAAAAGTGACTCTTTGTTTCATTCTCTTCTGATCTTCAAAAATAGATTCAACTAGATACAGTACACTGGACTCAAAGACAACCAGCCTACAAGATAAGATAATGTGGAGGGGAGACAGGCCTTGATTA